AAATGAATCCATTGCTAGTTCTTTTGATTTAATTGATAACGAAAATAATTATAACAAAAAAAATGATAATGAAAATAATGACAATAATAAAGGTGACGACAATAATGAAGATAATAATAGCGATAATAATGATAATGTAACAATTGATAATGTAACGGTTGATAATGTTCAAGGTAAATATTTGTTGTTGTTTACATGTATTATGTAGAGAGAGATATATATATGTGCGTATATGTATTTTAACATTATTATTTTAATTTTAATTTTTTTTTTTTAAGATATAAATAAAGATAAAAAAATTGACGAAATTGACGCTCGTGCATTTAAATCACAATTTGATGGTAATTATCAAATTTATTTATTTATTTCATTCATTTCATTTATTTATGTATTTATTTATATTTATTTGTTTATTTTCCAATAATAGAAATTTCATGTGCTTCGAGATTATTAGAAAATGCCAAATTAAATAATCTCATTAATTTCAATAATAATAATAATAATCGATATAATGGTCTCGCTGGACGACCTATTTTAATGAATTCCAACTTTTCATTGAGAAGAACCGATGTAACTTCAACGATTACAACAAATCACTTGACCCCTCCTTTTTCTTCGCCACATTTACAATTTAATAATAACAAGAATAATCATCATTATCAACATCATCAAAGATCCATTTCTAATCCTTCAACTCTTATTACTGCTCGTCAAAACAATTTACAACATAAACGAAGTACATCATCAATTTCAGGATTATCATTTAATGGATACTCTAATGGTATTAGTAATAGTAATATTAGCAATATTGGTAGTATTGGTAGTAATGGTTATCGTCCTAATTCGCCACATCATCCTCATCCTCATCATCATCATCACCATCATTATTCTTCTTCTTCTTCATCTTTATCATCTTTATTATCATCAACTTCATCTTCTTCATCTACTTCAGGTAGAAATACTTTACCTGGTACACCTTTAAGTTATGATTTATTTGAATTGGATGAATATTTACCTTCACAATTTGGATCATCTTATGGTATTCTTGATGAAAGTATTGGTGGTAATAATAATAGTAATAGTTTAAGATTAAAGAATTTAAGAGATTTTAATAATAAGAATAATGGTAAGTTTATTATCTTTTATATTATTTCGTTCATATTATCTTATTCATATTATCTTATTCATA